GCTATTAGCTGTATATTTGGATTGAGCTTTCTTCATGTACTAATGCCTCGCTCGAGCAACTACCTGCAGCTCTTTTTAGATAAGCGTGTACGAATTTTCCTATGCCAAAATCTAACAGCCGTTGCACTACTTAAAGACAGTGAGCACGATGGCTCTGGGCGGTCTGTTGCTTCCATCGTCATTGGTGGAGGTGCTAGGAGTGAAGCCAAGCCCTTCTTTCAACTCTTCCACCAATGACATTGGCAGCGGTCGTCAGACCACAGCTATCGTGCCAACTGGCTTCAAATATGGATTACACAGGGAACCGTCAAAAAGTCCGCAAGCAAAGTAGGTTGAAAAATAGGTATGCATGCGCTAGCTGACTAGTTTGTGAAGAAAAAAAAACAGTGGAAATTGTCGTGAATGCTCCCAGTAAGGTCGGGTTCAAACTGAAAGGCAAGGAAGCAATAGGGAATTTCAGGAAAAACCATGGTGCAACCAAGACGACAGACCTGTCAGCTAGCAAGGGGGCGGAGTTACTTGAGCGAGCTTGCGACTTAACTCCCTTACTGTCGTTTTCTGACACACCATCAGAACTGCTACAGGGTTGTCCACGGCGGTCCACACTATGGGCTTACACATCTACCTTTGATCGCAAACGTGACCGCAAGTTTGCCCCAATTCGACCAGGAGTTCGCCATAAATGTGTAGCAAAATCAAGGTCTGTGAAAAAGGCACTGCGAAGGCTTTTCGAAGTCCTAGGCAGGAAAGACCTCGGAATTATACTTTAGGAGGGTTCGTTTTCTTGCTTTACACGTGTACGCCCCGATACTACAAACGGCATACATTTCTCTTACTTTTTCCGGAGAGTTCTCCTTGAAATACTCAGAACACTGCGTTTTTCAGAGAGCATGATTGCCCAGCGACGACAGCGTAGCGAGATGCTCTCTGTAATCTCTGGCTAGAGCATTGGGATCGCTGAATTTGGTGTCATTACGACCATTCCCTCAAATTTCACGATCAAGGAAAAGTGATATAGCGCGCATGAGAGGGTAAACACCATTCGGGGAAGACATCAGGGAAAAACCACTCAGAGCCGACTTCGGCCTACGCCGCGGCGATCCAATACGCCCCTCCCTGATGGGATTCGCATGAAGATGCTCTACCAAAATCTGCTGTCAACTTACTGACATTTTATAGGGCATGCAGCCGGCAATGTCGAGCAGGGTGTTAGGCCTGCTGGCGGAGCAGGTGGAGACGTTGCAGGTAAATTTTTTTCACTAGAATAAGCAGAGAATGCTTTTTCACTAGAAACAGAAACTTCTGTATTATTTTTAAGGCGGAGCTTTGGGTGCGGTGGGGAGCGGCGCTGGTGCCGTCAAAGACAAAGCAAGTAAGGAAGCATAGATGTTAATCAATAGAAATTCAGATACTACTTGGTACTTGTAGTCTAGTGGATAGAACTTCTTCGTTTGTTGCCAGTCCTCGCATGAGAGGGGAAAATCGGGAAAGACATCGGGAAAAACCACTCAGAGCCAACTTCGGCCTACGCCGCGGCGATCCAATACGCCCCTCCCTGATGGGATTCGCATGACGATGCTCTACCAAAATCTGCTGTCAACTTACTGACATTTTATAGGGCATGCAGCCGGCAATGTCGAGCAGGGTGTTAGGCCTGCTGGCGGAGCAGGTGGAGACGTTGCAAGGTAAATTTTTTTCACTAGAATAAGCAGAGAATGCTTTTTCACTAGAAACAGAAACTTCTGTATTATTTTTAAGGCGGAGCTTTGGGTGCGGTGGGGAGCCGGCGCTGTGCAGTCAAACGACAAAAGCAAGTACGGAAGCATAGATGTTAATAAATAATAAATTCAGATTACTACTTGTACTATTGTATTCTATGAACTTCTTAGTTTGTTGGCATTCCTCTGCATGAGATGAAAATCGGCGGGAAGACATCGCTGAAAACACTCAGAGCTGACATTCGGTCCTACACCGCGCTCGGATTTTTCCAATACGCCCCTCCCTGATCGATTCGCGAGTGAAGGACCTGAATGCTTCTATCAAAATCTGCTGTCCAATTACTGACATTTTTATAGGAGCAGATTTGCAGTCCGCAATGTGCATCAGTGGATTAGGTGAATTCAACTGATCTGGCGGAGCTAGAGTGGATGACGTGTGTTGTCAAAATAATGATTTTTTTTTGATACCTCGTAGAATTAAGCAGATAATGCTTTCACTTATAAAACATGAAACTTCATGTATTATTTTTAAGGCAGAGCTTTGTAGTCTCAGGATACTTGTTTGGTTACTTGTAGTCTAGTGTATAAATTTCTTCGTTGTACCATTCTCTGCGATTCTGAGTCTGAGTGTTTTGAAGCAAGTTGTGATCCATTCAAATTAACAGAATATTTATAGGCCTGCAGGCGCGCATGTCAAGGAGGCGTGGTTAAGGCTAGTGGGAAGCAGGTGGAAGACCTGGAATAGATTTTTTTTTACTCAAAAATAAGTCAAAAGTTCGCTCTTTTTCACTAGACTATTGACAACTAAAATCTTCTGTATTATTTTTTAAGGCGGAGCTTTGGGTGCGGAGTGCTTGAAGAGCGCGCTGGTTGCCGTATAGCCAAAGAATAAGGAAGCAAGATTTAATCAGTACAGAGAGTTACACATACTATCTGATACTGCGTACATCTAGTCGAATGAATTCTTCGTTTTGTTGCCAGTCCTCGCATAATTTCCGCAGCACATAAGGCGAGTTAGTAACCGTCAAATAGAAGTCATAATATAGTATTTTGGTCTCAGAGTGAGTTCTTAGAATAGCCCTACTTTTTTGCTGGCGCTCGGACATGCTTTCATCCTCCGGGAGTTCAGGGTTGTAAGGGTTGTACACTAACTAGTAAGAGTTGCTCACATGAAAAAACATAGGTGATTCGGCTAAGCGCTGATCATCGAGTTTTCTGCTGGAGAAAAAGTTTGGGCCGGACAGGTTTCGTAAAGTAACGAGTTGAACTTTCCGCAACCTTAACTATTCATTTCCTGTTCTTCATTCAGGTGGCGCTGTTGGAGCCGTGAAAGGTGGTGCTGGTGGCATTGCTGATACAGCAGGTGAGCAGGCTTTACTTTTGCAACAGTAAAACTGCTGGGAAGCTATTCTCAAAGATATTTCACTTTAGGAATATTCCACGTTTTCTCTCGCCCTCCCCCTTGTGCCTTACTCCAAATCAGGGCACGCCATCTTTGTGGTCATCACAACGGGGTCGTATTTGCCCGCGATGAAGGGGGGGGGGGGTCGTAAGGCATGGCCCATGTTGAAGTGGAGAGAGCGGTGATACACGGTACAAGTGAAAAGAAGCTCAAAAGGGACGATGTAGATGACAATAAATAGAACTAGGCACTATCGAACTATTCCTAGGCCAAGAACTAAAAAAAATATTGCTGAAAGACTTTTTCTCTTTCAATTCTTCACGAAAAAACTTTGAGAGCACTTCGCGCCACGCAAGCTCACTCCTCATCTGGTCTAGATAAATCCCAATCCACTAATCCGCAAAATCTAGAAAGGAATCCATTGCAAAAGCTGCCTATGAAACCGTAGAAATTGAATCTCCTCATGACCCAATGAAACTCAACAAAACAAAATCAGACTCAAACCAAAACAAACTAATCAAAATATTCACAATCAATGGATATAGGAAAAAGTCACTCAGGCACTGGAAGCGGAAACCGATGCTATTTCTAACTCACCACCACTGTGCGGCGCGATCGCGTCACGGCGTCAGCGGAGCACGCCAGGGATCAGTGGAATTATGCTCTAGGTTAGATGGGAGCTCTAGCGTTTCTCCTCTATGTAAAAAAACACACTCGTGTTCTGTTCACCAGGTGGATTACCAGTACCTCAATTAAACTTTTCTTAAGCGATAGTTGAGTTTATTGCTTTCAGGTTATTGAACTGAACGGACCACAACACAGGGTATAAAACTGACTTCCGTTGCATAGTTATGATTCCCTCTTGATAGTATTTTGTTTTTCCTTGACTGTATATACTCTAATGTTAGATGTTGTGGATTACTGTCATGCCCTGAGCGCAAGTAAAGAAATAAAGTTGAAGTTGAAAGGATGGGTGAAAGCATCTTATCAGCAAGCATTTGCTAGCATCAAACGGACTCCTTGACTCGTGAATTGGTTTTAGAAATCTAGGCTACTGAGAAAACCTAATGTGAAAACATTTGGAACAACGAGGGGTTTCCGATGCTAGTTGTCTCACGCAGCTGCTTTCTGGCATCTGAAAACGCAGCACTCAAACTCCACATTTGCACGGCCTATTTTTGAGTCTTGAGCCAGTTTTGACACTTTGTTCGGCGGCGTGTTCTCCGGGAATGCAACCTTCGGCCTCTCTCTCAATAACCCCTCTCTTCGACCATTCCTACAGTATTGCGAAAACACGCGCAAAGTTTTTTGTTCTTTTTGGGACTGATTGTATTCTACTAAAATACATTCACACAATTAACACATCAAAACGAAGAAAAAATCGTAAAAATATGCCAAAAACAACGACGAACGTGAGCTCTGGGCGAAATGGCCTTCGCCTCACATGTGTTAAGCAGTTCTGGAACTTCCTGACTAAGCACTACGAACTTTGGATTGCTTTCGCAGCACCTATCATGGGTAACCAAAGCAAGCCTTCAGTGCTCGACAACTTGACTATGTCAGCTTACTCTTTCTCTAATGTATTTATTCATAGCAACATGCAGACGGAAACAGGCATCAGCTAGAAAAAAAATCCAATTAAGTTGCATGTTTGAAAAGCACTACCGAAACGGAACGAGTAAAACATTTTCTACCTTAAACCGTTTTCATGAGATGAACTCAGTGGTTTCTCGCTGTTGTTCTTCTTTGGGTGAGTCTAACAAGGAGAGTTCAGCACTCAGTTGCACGAAGCCTCCCACGAAGCTTCTGAGCTTTGCCCATACAAAGTATAAATGACCATCAGGGACCACTAACCTAAGCATAAGTCGTGGCGCTTCCTCTCATCTCGCCTTTGGTTTGGCTGGGTTGCTCTCCCGCGCCTTAATCACTTCTGGTACCTCCATTCCCGGCATGAACGTGAAGTGCCGAAAATCAGCTGTTAACAGCAGGGCATTTTGGACGTTGTCAATGTTCTTGTTCTGCTCTTTTCTTGACTGATAACTCTAACAGCACGTCAGAATTAATGGTGAAGATATTATTAATAATATAATAGTTTAATATTCAGATCCCAACATACCATTGCAATTCCAGAGTGCCGTTGGGAGTAAGAGCTCTGTTCTAGAAGAAGGAAAATCAGGGAAAACATAAGGAAATTAGGGCAAGTCTAGTAGAACCGTAAGGATGTCCCATTTATGGTGGGCAAAATTACCTTGCAGCCAATACTACAACAAAACTTCACAATCGCACTTCAGATATCAGTGCTTTCTGTAAATATTATTTCAGAAATAGCGTTCTAAATGATATCTGCAACCGTAGGAATGATCACTGCTAGCTCAAGGGCACATCCTGTCGTTGGGGAGAACTTTTGCAAATTACAACTCCTCGGAACTCCTTCCTCTGATGCGACCCGTTTCCCGCTCCCCATCCTATTTAACATCCCTTCTTTTTCCGGACTCATTTTTCAAAACAACTCCTCCACTCTGCCCCAAAAAATTGCCCACGAGCGCGGCCGTTGAATAGGGGGGAGGGGTGGGAATAGAGCGCACCTGAAGCAGGAAAAGCCGAGAAAAGGAATACAGGAATCAACATCAACAACATTTTTTCCCGTGAACGAATACGACTCCCCTCACCTTCAACTAGATACGATCACCCTCGCCACGATCAATGAAGATCCCCTTCTATGACGTGCTCTGATTAGCTCTCACACAGTTCCCAGAAATCTGACGAGCACATCTCTTCTGCACGCGCTCGAGTCATCAATCCTTCTATTCTATAAAGCACTAACTTTGTGTGTCGGTTTGTCGGTCTGTATGTATGTAAGTATGTAAGTATGTAAATATATATGTTTGTCCGTCCGCAAAATGCTTCACGGGTTCGAGTTCGCTGGAGGCGAAAACGACCGCTAGGCAAACAGGCAAATCGGTGCGGAAGTATCAATCCAATGTTTTGATCGTGATATCGGCCTCCGCTATATAAGACAACCATTCGGTACACTCCGAGCCATTGCACGATGCGCTGGCGTAGGCAGCTGGATTGTGCTCCGTGCGGCGGGCAGGTGGGTGGGTTCGGGAGAGGGGGGGGGGCACTGCCTGCCCCCCTCTGCTTCCTTCCCCTGCGCGTGCTCAGCCCGATCTGAGCATGCGCAAGAGAAGGAAGCAGAGGGACGGTCCGACTGGAACACTGGGGCGTTTTTTCAAGGTATGATATAGGTTATGGCACAGGAATATGTGGGTGACAAGAACTGCTAGCCGCTGATAAAGGGAGTTAGAGTGGAAAGGACAACATACTCATAACGCGGTACACAGCATCAGTTAGGCGTTGATTTCAGCAAATGATATCAAGGGGAAGGTGGAGAATGCGACGGCGGGACAAGAAATGATAACAGCTGATAGGGCCTGATAGAGAACGATGCAGTTGTTGTTCAATCAAACGCTGGAGCCTCTACACCACGAAATTATGGAGTTTTAGTGATAGCGACATTGATGACGAGTGACAAGCAATTTTATCAATTGATAAGTAAAGATAAGGGGACATTTTCACGACATCTCTGACCACTACACTAAAAAAGCCTCTCAGTAAGCGAAATTTTCCCACAGCCATCACTCCTCTGATAGCACTAGAAAATGTACTCATCCCACTATCCTTCTATTCTATAAAGCACTAACTTTGTGTGTCGGTTTGTCGGTCTGTATGTATGTAAGTATGTATGTATGTGTCCGTCCGCAAAATGCTTCACGGGTTCGAGTTCGCTGGAGGCGAAAACGACCGCTAGGCAAACAGGCAAATCGGTGCGGAAGTATCAATCCAATGTTTTGATCGTGATATCGGCCTCCGCTATATAAGACAACCATTCGGTACACTCCGAGCCATTGCACGAGCTGCTGGCGTGGCAGCTGGACGTGTGCTCGTGCGGGGGCAGGGTGGGGTGGGGCCGAGAGAGGGGGGGACACTGCCCCCCCCTCTGCTTCCTTCCCCTGCGCGTGCTCAGCCCGATCTGAGCATGCGCAAGAGAAGGAAGCAGAGGGACGGTCCGACTGGAACACTGGGGCGTTTTTTCAAGGTATGATATAGGTTATGGCACAGGAATATGTGGGTGACAAGAACTGCTAGCCGCTGATAAAGGGAGTTAGAGTGGAAAGGACAACATACTCATAACGCGGTACACAGCATCAGTTAGGCGTTGATTTCAGCAAATGATATCAAGGGGAAGGTGGAGAATGCGACGGCGGGTGACAAGAATGATAACAGCTGATAGGGCCTGATAGAGAACGATGCAGTTGTTGTTCAATCAAACGCTGGAGCCTCTACACCACGAAATTATGGAGTTTTAGTGATAGCGACATTGATGACGAGTGACAAGCAATTTTATCAATTGATAAGTAAAGATAAGGGGACATTTTCACGACATCTCTGACCACTACACTGCCAAAAAGCCTCTCAGTAAGCGAAATTTTCCCACAGCCATCACTCCTCTGATAGCACTAGAAAATGTACTCATCCCACTAGGGGGGGGGGGGGGGGGGTATATACTTCGCCTGAAACAGGAAGTTTGGAGAAATCAAAAACTCCAATACTGGAACACACTTTATGCGTTCAGTGAGTATTTAAATATTTTTTTTGCTTTTCAACATTAAATCACTGATGAGAACGAATAACGAAGTAGTTTGTAAGATATTCAATGAACGCTGCCTAAATATTGTCATCTGCAGCCATTCATGCAACCTTAGCAGGTGGATTGCATGTTAATGACAAAGTTTAATCGGCCCATCCGTTGGTTGATGCATGTAATAAAAGGGAATGCGTTCATCTGCTGTGCAACATATATTGATATTCTGTACTTCCTATCTATTTCTGAGATCTACGTATAGAATGGGCGTTATGGCCGAAACCCGCACGCCTTCCGCAACTCTGAGGGGTGCAGATTTCGCTAGGTTACTCTGTCTATTTTGATTCGACCACTCCGCGCAGGCCACTCGCGAATCCGCAAGCTAAAAAGAAGGAGGAGAGCTCGGCGTCAGCCGGGCGATCCGACTTGTTATTAAATATTTCCACTTTGAAGCAGTAGGTAACACACAATACGAAAGGACTGCTGGAAAAGCAGTGGGAGGCTCCGCCTGGGGTATGATCACCTCGACCGATCAATTCCAATTGTTTTTATACTGTAGTTCGCTGCGGACGGTTGGGCCTGTCAGCGCGGCTGCGTTTGGCGCGGTGCCAAACTCGTTTTACACCAGTTGTTGAAGCGGGCAAATGAGCACGCTTTATCATATGCTTCGTATTACTCGTTTTCTACCACTTTTTGTCGCATGCGCTTTTCAAAAGAAGGCAGAGAACGGCTCTGATAGGTAGACACACTCATACTGCCTGACACGCGAACCGTCGCAGAGAACTAGAGTGTATTTGAAGGAGCGGGCCGCGGTAAAGAGTGTAGGTGATGGTGTCGAAATATGGATGAAAATTCACCAAGTGACTCGCCTGTGAAGTAAAAAGGGAACGTTGGAAACACGTTTACTAGAACTCCTCCAGCTTTGAACTATTGAAGGGGTAAAAAACTGAGAGACGCGGGGACGAGTCCTGTTGGCTGATTCCTTGTAATGAGCTGTATGACTCTACAAGGGAATGAAGCATCCACTTCATGCCATTTGCCCGGTAGCATCACTTTTGGCTGGAAGGCGGACTTTGGAGGCGGAGTCTGCGGCGGAGAGTGTTACTGGTGCTGGGGGCGGAGTCACTGGAAAAAGGGAGGTACCACTGGAGTACGTTTGCGCCTTAACTCCTTTACCAAACAACTTTCCACCGCGAAACTGGCACAGGATTGTCCACTGTGGACCACACTACCTACCCACATAACTTTTTGCATTTTCATAAGTAATCGCGGACCGTTCCTTCAAGCCGGCGCTAAAAACTTGAGTTTAGAAAAACTACTCGTAAGAAATTTCTTGATCATGGGCCGATTACTGAGTTCGGGAGTCTCACTAGTGCTTTCATCAAATTCTAGTAACATGGATGTTCAAAGAGGGGATGCGTTGCGCTCTTTGACAAACCGAACAAATGCCTCTCCATTCCAGTTCCGGGAATTTTACACAAATAACTTTCCGAAAGGGCCTATATGGAGAGGGAAACCTGGTTCACTGTAGACATATGTAGATGTGGACTTCTCTAAAACTGCGGTGTTGGTCTCTTGAGGTGGAATTTTGTAATCAGTATTTGCGTTTCTAGACGGTGGGTTCATCAGGATAACAAGAAGTACGTGGAAACCAAAGACGACTACTTCGTAAGCAAGCAATATTTTCAAGTTTTCTCCTTTCAAGACTTTCGATAGCCTTTAGAAACCCTAGTCCGAAAACAACAACAGAAATGGGTTGAGCTGAAGGAGAGAAACTAATCTAACTAATAGTAACAATCAGTTCTGTATATTGGCAAAGCAGAACTCTCACTGTTCAGGGGTCTCAGGAGAAAAGTAAATCTTTGGAGGTCAGTTAAATTATATAGCAACCTCAATTGCAAAGAAACCGGCTTACCTCATCGACTTTACAGGGCTACAAACGGCAAGATATCGATCCCAACTGAGAACGGTCATGATAAAAGAACTGAGTAGTTTGCTGATACTTTCACCGAACCAGTATAGCTTGCACATTGCTGTTCCAAAGAGCCACTGCCCTAAATCGGCCATGTTCACATAATGGCTTCTACATTTATTAAAATTAGAAATGAACCTTTCAGCAGGTCGACGACCAGAAATGGTAGATGTAATATCACAACTAGATCGACAAATGATAGACCTGAATAAAAATGAATGATAATTCGAGTTCAGAAAACCCCCGCTCTATTGATTCGCTTTCCCTCGTTTTCTTTTTGGGTGAACGCCATCTTCTACTGCACAAGATAGCAACAGCTTCTGATAGAATTACTGAGCTTTCCGCCTCAATACTTCGCGCGGGTGATGTCATCTAGTCGGCAGCACGGATCCCGATTATATTCTGATTTGCCACACAACAAGTTCCCAAATAACCGCAAATTTGATCAATTTGGAGATGGCAGCCATGAAGTCGAGAGTAATGCGGCTGAGCTCTACAGCTAATGTTCTTCAGAAACTACGAGTCAAAAGGAAATCAACAGGTCCTTGCTCATTATGAAATGAGTAGGTACTACTTGAAGCGTGGGAAATTGCCGTCAATTTGGCTGGCATTTTGGTTAGCTCTAACTGCTATGCATCTTACAACTCGAAGTTCTCATTCCATCTACTCTTCCAGAGAGAAAAAGCTGTTGAGTACAACATTCACCCCCAGACATTCAATTGTACGTTTTGGACTACCCTACGGGAAACCTGTGAACAGTTGTGCAGCTGAAACAAGGTAGTCAAAGTCACCTGTCAACTCGAGAAGAGGCTGTCTAGACAGGCCGACACGTCGTTGGGAGGTAGCAAAAGTGCAAAATGCCCCCTCGTCGACAAACTGCGCCTGAATTGTATTGGAAATAGTATTACTTTGCAAGCAAAATGTATAGGTAGTGAGCTTCAAAAAACGTATAGTTGAATGCCGAGAACCGGGCAAATGCCGTCTTCAGTAGCCCTCAACAAGTTGTCCACTCGCATAGTAGTCAGACTAGCTAAAATCTCAGCTAAATTCCCTGCAATTTTTCATGTTTCAACTAAGAAGCTACTCATTTCCACATGAGCAAGAACCTGTTGATTTCCTTTTGACTCGTAGTTT